TCTGCATACAACTCCCTCTGGATTTCCTAACACCCATGCTCCCAAGAAGATGAGAAGTGGGGTACTATTTGGGACCTTAATTCTTCGCCTAAGGTCAAAATGGTCATGTGGCTGACTATGTGGGAAAGACTTCCTACTTACTTCCTCCTATCTTGCTACTAGGAACATCATATATATTCTCAGCTTTTTGCTCCTTCTATCCAGGGGTGGAAGAGTCAATTTTACATGTCCTTAGGGACTGTCCTGGGGTAGCTGAAATATGGAACCTTCAACCTCTCCTATCTCCTTTAGTGGACTCTGTCCCTCGATGGATGTGTGATAACCTGGGTAGTTGTTCAACTGACAATCCTATGGGAAAACCTTGGAATGAGATTTTTGCTGTCATGTGTTGGAGAATATGAATTAGAAGGAACATATGGGTATTTTAGAAGGAGAATATAGTCATCCAATCCTGGTGGAAATCACCACCTGGATAATTAAGGAAAACTCCCTTCTTTCCCAGTCCCAATATATGGTCCCTAAGTTTAATCTACCCTCCTTTATCTCCATTGTAGCTCCCAAGTGATGATCCAAACTGATGCTTCCTTTTCCTCATCCACCCTGTCTGCTGGCATTGGTTGTGTTTGCAGAGATTCTCAAGGGGTTTGGTGTGATGGCATGCCTATGCATGTCCCTTGTACTTCTGCTGTGTGGGGGGAAGCCTTTGCTGTTTTGTTCTCCCTGAAGTGGGTTATGTCCAAAGGCTATACTGAGGGTCTGCTGCTCTCAGATTGTGAGAGGGTGGTCCAAGGGGTTACACTTCAGGATAAGGTATGGGATAAGCTTACTAACATATATAATGGATGCAGGGAACTCCTCCAACAACTTCAGAGGCTATCCTTAAAGCAAGGGAAGCGGGTCCAAGTTCAAGAGGCTGATGCTGTGGCAAGAGGAGCTAGACAGAAGTTGGTTATTTCAACTGACTTTTGTTGGATTGTCCCGAAGGAAAGTAGGGAAGAGCTTCTGTCTAGGCTAGGAAATTTTACCTTTGCTTATAGTAGCAATATTCTCTAGTATTTTTGTACATGAAACTGCTAATTCCTAGCTTAACTTGTAAGAATTATTTTGTCAAAGGCCTGGCCTTTGAGAACTCCTGTATTCATGGAGATGTGATATATAATGACTAAATGAACGCCTTTTAACAAAAAAAAAAAAAAGATAAAAAAAAAAATAAAAAAATGAACCAAATATGAAGAGACATAAAAGAAAATTTGATTTTGGGAGAAACCTGATGAACGAGATAATAAGCCATCAATAATACAACCACAATTAATTAGGTAATTTAATAATTTGACATTACATGTATGTTTTCAACACTTGAAACATCTTTACTACTCCCTCCGCTTATAATACATCTTCATTTTTCTTGTTGGTACGTATGCCGATACTAATATTTGATCAATAATATCTTTAATTATTAACAAATAGAAATTCTAATAGGTTGTGACGATTTCAACAAGTATTTATAAGATTATATTTTTTTCTTATTTATAAATCACAAAAATTTAGTCAAAGTTGGAAGAATAAATATTACAAAAAGTAGAAATAGAGCTAGTATTTTAAAAATGAAGAGATTATATCTTAATTAAGTGATAGAGACATACGAAGTATTACTTTCATGAGGCTCTCGCTAATCAATACTCTACTGTATAACATCATACCCTAATAAAAGGTCTAACATGACTACATGAGTTTAAATAATTTTGGCTCATCCCCAAGATCCCAACACAACACAGAAAAACTTGTATGAACCTGGTTTACAATAATATTATTGTGGATCCGAAGTTCAACATGTGCGTAACTGGTCTCGTATTGAACATAGTGACCCTAATATTGAACATAGTGACCCTAATATTAAATATAGTAACCTTAATTTTAACATAATAACCTTTAATAAAATTTGTGTGATTTTTAATATTGTTGCGAACCTGAAGTATGATGTTATGATCCTAATTTTAACCTAGTGATCTATATTAATCATATTGACCAGGATTTTAAAAATTTTCATTTAAAAAAAATTTATCTCTTATGACCTTTATAAAAACAATCACTTTTATTTTAACATAATGATCATTATTTTAACATAGTGACCTTTTTTTTAAATTAATAAAATGACCGTATTATCTCTATTTTAAGTGGTCCACAATAAATTAGTGTGAACCAGTTCTATTTAAGAGTTTGTAAATACCACAACTTCACCCAATTGAGTCAACAACTTCACCCAATAAAATCTCTACAATCATACGGACAAAGATACGAATAAAATATTACTTTGTATACCGCTATATACAATACTTCGTATACCACTATGTAACAACATTACAAAGGCCCTCTCCAAAATTTTCTTACATTTATTTTTAAAAAATTTGATATTTGCTACCAGCAAAAACATCTTGTGTCACATTTGCTACCCATTTAATTTTTTATTTTACTTTACTACCACCCAAATCCCAAAATTATAAGTATCATTACCAGTTGCCTTATGTCATTACGGTTTCCATTAGTGGGCCCAGCCATTGTTCAGCCACCTCACTACTAACCAAGCCACCTCACTACCACTGTCCAACCTCCCTGTCCCTATCAACTCTGCCCCAATACCTCACTGCCACCCTCTCCCTTCCGCCGACGACCGGCCAGCCCCTTCTCGTTACCGGAGCTAAGCCTCTTCTTGCTGGCGACTACCACTGCTACATCATCAACCCCTCACTCCTGTTTGTTTTCTTTGGCTGCTTTCAATCGCTTCTTCTTCATTATCCACCATCAACTGAAATCATCGGCTTCAAACGCTTCACATTCAATCATCATCAAATCGCAGTCATTGATTCGATTCAATGCATCTTAGCCACCAAATTTCATTATTTTCGCTCTAGAGTCTATGATATTTTCGCTGAATTGGGGCGTAAATTGCCAATTACGGGGCTCCAAATGCTAAAATTGCGGGCTGAATTAGAGCTTCTTACAAGCTACTTTTTGTTCGATTGGGCTGTCGGCTTCCATTGATGGTGGTGCGAGGCTGGTGGTGGAGCGCGCTTCTTGCGGTTGTGCTGCAGGCGGTAGTGTTGGTTCAGGCGGTGCTCGCTGCAGTGTTTTTTGGGGGGGGGGTGAAGTGTAGGATGAGCTTGGTGATGTTGGACAGAGTAAAGGAGATGCGGTGGTTCGGTGCTGTGGGTGCGCTGGTGGCAATTGCGGCTCGATGTGATATTAGTGATGATGTAAATGGTGGTGGTGATGGAGGAGGGGTTAGGCAGGGGTTTGTGGTGTTTGCATGAGGAAATGGAAGCAAGGGAGTGTTAGTGAGCGGTTAGTATGGTGTAGGTTAATGAATTGGTGTGGTGATTGATAAATTAGGCCCCACTTAACGGCAAAATTGACATAAACCGTTACCTGGTAGTGAAATATGTAGTTAGGGGATTTGAGTGGTAGTAAAGTAAAATAAATAATTAAACGGGTATCATATGTGACACAAGGTGCTTTCGCTGGTAGCAAAGTCAAAATTTCCTTGTTTTTTACTTGTATTTTTCTTCTTGTTAAAAAGATCGACATTCATGGTTTAAGAACAATATAAGAAAATTATTAATTTGTTTTGTTTTAAGTATTTTGATTATGATTTTATAGATATTAAGGGCCTGCTCTGATTTACTAAACTACACAAAACTGATTGGAGCTGTACTGAAATGAACTGAAATGAGTTGAATAGAGCTGAAATGAATTGTTAATGAGAGAAGGAAATTAGGAATTGAACTGAACCAAACTGATCTAAGCTAATTGGAGCTAAACTAAACTAAACTAAATTGAAATTAAGCTAAAGAGAACATGCCCTAAATACTATTACTTATTTAGTCTTATGAAAATTATTTTGTTATAAATCTATGAATCTAATCATACTTTTTAGGTTTTGATGTCCATGCCAATTTTTTTGAAATATATTTGTTACTCCCTTCGTGTTTTTTTAAGTGTTACATTTTAACTGACACATAGTTTTAGGCAATTTTATTGACTTAAATAAAATAAGAGGTAAGTGGGGTAGTTGGAGTATTAAAAAATTATAAAAGAAAGATAGTGGGGTTAATAGTTTATTGAAAAGTAATGAATGTGAGAGGAAAGATATAATAAAAAAAAAGTAGTAGTAGGTTTGAGTGGGGGCCATGAGAGGAGAGAGATATAATATTTTTTTTTTTCACTTGACGGCAATTTGAGACTTGGGAAATAAATTAAGGTTATATAAAGGTTTCCTTGAGTTATAAAAGGACCCTACAATTAATCAATTAGTTCACACTTTATTAATTCATTAAATAGGATTACATTAAATACTCCTTATATTAATATTTCGTTCTGATGTAGGTCTAAGTGGACCGAATCACGTAAATTCATGTGCTCTTTGTTCATATTTATTATTGTTTTCTCCTATTTTTTATTCACTTGTTTTGCATTAATCTGACACAAGTACACACTTATTTCCTTACAATATCAATTGTTACCATTAAGTTAGTAGTAACTTAAGATCATATGATCACATTGTGTTTCGAAATTTATCTATGTAGTAGTTTACTTATTTAAGTTTGACTTGTCCAGCTCTCATTTTAAAGTGGTTATTTAGGATAACTCTAATGATTTGGATTTAATCAAGTAGTTATATTACAATAATTAAATACAGATAAGAAAATCGGTAGAGGAAAGCTGTTGTAACATAAAAGATGTTTATGAAGAATTAAAATCGAATTATTTAGTCCTTAACAACAATCTTACTAATGTAATGTTCCTTTTCCAAATCAAATACACAAAACTGACAATTAATCGTCATAACGAAGAATTTAAAATCTAGGTAGACTACCTAAACTCAAGCAAACATATATACTTAACTAAGATTTAAAGTGTCTCTAAGTCACATTTAGTACACTAACATAAAAGAGTATCATCGAATATTTTTATACTAAACTACTAAAGATAGAGTTAATTTGATCTCAGAATTTGGCACACCAAGAACATAATGACAGCTTCCAGTTGCCTCTTCTTCGATTATCCTCAGACCTTCCATGCTGCGACTGCTGTTGCTCTGCATCCTCGTTGTGATGGCTTCTATTTGAGGAAGTTCTAGGTGTAGCATCATTCGGTCGTCTCTCATTTCCACTTGGAGGAGCATAATTTGATTTCTCATGTGCTCTTGGAGCATCATCACTAAACGTTTCCTCGGAAAATAAATCCTGCAGACACCAATCTTCCACAGCAACAGTTGAAGGTGTGTTACTGTCACAATGTTCATACGGAAATTCTGTTATGAGTTGTTCCATATTCTTAGAAACCAGCGCGATTACTTTAGCAGACGAGTCAATTTCTCGTCGAATGTTCTCCATGATATCAGGAATTGTATCAACTCCGAGCAAGAACTCAAAACTTATCATTCTAACCATATCAAGGCCATCAATAATAATCCTCAAAGTAATAGATATCGATACATCCTCTGACATTTTCCCCTGTAACCAGAATTTCTTATATCCGCTGTCAAATTCCATCAGTACTTCTGTAGGCTGCAGTAGTAGTCCAGCCACCTGATCTTGCACAGATTCATTCAGAGACAGACTACCAGCACAAGTACTTGCAGTCGATGTGTCAGCAACATCGACTGCAAGCAATGGGTCATTCAGAAGGTCCAATGCTGATGGTCTAACAATATCAGGTGCAAAGTCAATACACTTATCAATCAACTGCTTCATTTGAGGATCAGTCACACTGAGTAACCCAACAGGCTTGAAACCGATGTCAACCAGATCATTGTCGCTGCTGAGTTCTGTGATTTGTACTTCCTTATTCATCATCTGCGTTAAGCTAGTCCCAAACGAAAATATATCAGTCTGAAACGCTGGTGTACTCCCTGATTCAAAAATCTTTGCAATTCCCAAGTCTCCTAGTTTAATCGTGCTCGTGTTACCTTTAACAAATATGTTACTACACTTAATATCACGGTGAGTAATAGGCGGATTATGAGTATGAAGATAATGTAACGCACTTAAAATCTGTCTACACCAAATCTTGATCGCCATATTACCCACAAGAGCAGGTACATGTTCCCTGCTATAGTCTGTCAGATTTCCTGAAGAACAAAACTCAGTAATCATGTGGACGACTTTCTGGTCATCATCAATCCAATAATGATAACATTTCGTAATGTTTTCGTGGTCTAGAGACCTCAATAATTCAGGTTCGGCACATAATTCCTCAAGATTTTCCCTAGACGCTTCTTTTCCTGGTAGTAATCTCACCTTACTCCAAGCTATTTCAGTACCATAACGCCTATCCAATCCCCTGTAAACTTTTTTTGACGAGCCTTCTCCTATGAATATTTCGTACCTTGCGAATCGCGTTGTTGGGTCTGTCTCCCTAACCGTATAATCGTTAGCTTGTGAACTCGAAGCAGCCATTACTAACCCAGTTGTAATTAGAAACAACAGAACAGTAAACAGAACAACCGAAAGAATATTTTTGATTAATTTTATGGATATAATTGAAAGGATAATTTTGAAGGAGAAACAAAATAATAGAAATGGATTGATAAAATATTTATAGTGGAAATCAGTTAAGTCGGTTATCAAGTTCAAGAAACTTGAAATGGGGTTTCTTGATTTTTTTTTAATTTTATTTATTTATATAAAATAGTTTGGAAAATACAGTAAAAAGAGTTGTGGGAGTTAGTTACATGTCAGCCGGGAATATAGGGAAGTTATTTAAATCAGGCAGTTAAGATCAAGAAACATAAAATGGGTTTTCTTGATTTTTTTTTATTTTTTATTTATTTATTTATTTATTTTTTAATATAGATTTCTTTACTTCCTCTTTTTATTATAAGAAAATTATTATTTTTTCGATAAATACTTAAGAAAATTAATATAGTGAAGTGTAACTTGCTCTCAACTTAATTGTTTCAAAGGGAAAAAAAATAAACAAAAAACTAGCTCTGGACTTTATAACAGTATAAAATGTCTACACAGATTTAGTAGCAATAATAATGTGGTACATTCCCATGATTTCATAATTAGAATTTAAAATTAAATTATGATAATAGTATTTAACTCTTTATTAATCAATATTAACTCTTTATTGGTCATTTCTTACTTTTTAGGTCAGAGAGAATGTTGTTTAGAAATTTGGTATTAAGGTGCATATACTAATCTCCCTAAAAATATAAGTATCTTAACATTAAAAACAATATAGTACTAGGGATTATTACGGCTAGTGCTATAAGACATCAACTGTACACCAAACTTTAGTAATAAATGAGTGACAAATTAATCAAATTAATTAATCAAAAAAAAATATTAACACTTCAGTCCAAAATTAATTAGTATTATTAAATATTAATAAGTTTAAATTCAAACTTAAACTCAGGATTAAGTGAACTTTGCTTTTATATAGGGGTGTGCTAAAATCAATTAAGGGTGTGCTAAAATCATTTCCCAAAAATCACATTCTCCGTAGTACTCACTACTAAAGTAGTGAAACTAATCGTATTTGTAAAAACAAAACACTTCATTTCTGTTACAAAGAAATTTATTAATGTGAAAATCAAGAAATGCTATTTTTGTTTCTTGATTACCGACTTCATCCCAATTGTTATAAACAGATAGATTTTTTTGTTTTTTGGGTGCGATTATAATAGATAGATGTAAAACCATAATTCTCATTTGTATTGTCACATTCCACCATACTTTCTTCCACAAAAATAAAATCTTACGTTACTCTCTTGAATACAAATCATCCTTGTTTACTTTCAATTTCTTTTTTCTATCTCTATTTGAGTTCACTTTCAATTTCGTCTTGTTCTATCTCTATTAGGTTTCGTCACACATGGCTTCAACTTCACAGGGAGGAAACAATAATGAAGACATCGAGACAGATTCGAGTGGTCGATACGAAAGGTACAATGAGATCATTGGAACAGGCAAAACGAAAACAGTTTACAAGGGCTACGATAAAGAAGCTGGTACTGAAATCGCTTGGTCTAAAATACATATAACAGAGGATTTAGAAAAGAACGAGGGATTTCTTAAGCTTTTATTGGCAGAAGGTGATCTGATGAAGTCTTTAGATCATGAAAACATAGTTAAATGCTATGAATCTTGGGTTGACAACGAAGAGAAAACCATTCACATGATTACTGAATACTTTCCTTCAGGAAATTTACTGCAGTATCTCAGAAAACATAAGTCTGAAGACAATAATGCAGAAATCAAGAACTGGTGTCGACAAATTCTGGATGCGATTGCTTATCTTCACAGTCAAACTCCGCCGATTGTTCACCGTGACATTAAGGCAGAAAACATCTTTATCAATGAGGAGACAGGAAGTGTTAAACTCGCAGACTTTGGTTTCGCGCTGAGGCTTGAGCAGGAGACCTGTAACAGGAAATATGGTACGCCTCGTTACATGGCACCAGAGGTTCATAAAGGAAAGGATTATAATCAGTTGGCTGACATATACTCTTTCGGGTTGTGCGTACTAGAGATCCTCACTGGTGAACAGCCTTACAGCGAATGCAGTTCAAAAGTCGAGTTTTTATTACTGGTTGCAGACGGTGTTAAGCCTCCAGAACTCAGAAAAGTGAAAGATAATGATGCTTATGATTTCATTTATAGGTGTCTGGCTCCTGCATCTGAAAGACCCTCTGCAATTGAACTCTTGAATGACCCGTTTGTTGCACCGAGTTTTTCGAGCATCCTATCAGCAAGATTTCTGAGTCTGGTGCAGAGGGTATGTTCTTGCATTTTCTGAAAACTGCTCCATATGATCGATTTACCTGGTGATTAGCTACTCGATTACCTGCTATTAGTCAGTTCTTTTATCTTTCTTTCTAGATACAGTCTATTTTAGAGTATAGATGCATTTCATACTTTGGTTCCTCTTCTAATTCTGTTCACTATTGCATTGTAATAGGGTGTCAGGTGTGTTATTAGATAAACTAAGTTTGTAATCAAAATTGCAATTTGTTAATAATAATTCTGTTTTTGTTTTTTTAAGTTTAGTCCCACCCCCCTAATAAATTAACCAAATGATAAGCAAGCCATAATGTAAAGTAATTAAAGCATTAATAACTCGAGGCAAATAGATTTAGCAAGCAAGAAAATGTGCAAAGCAAGAACATAATTAAAACACTTTATCGAAACCAATTGTTGCTTAAACAAGTTTATCACTCTCATTTCATGGATTATAGTGAAAAAGTCAATATTCTCTAACTAATTTTTTTATTGAGGATATATAATCTGTAAAATTATGTACGGAAATGTCAAATAAGTGCACACATAGAATTATCTAGGTTTATATTGTTAATTTTGCTATTTGAATGAGAATGCTTTAGTTTAGTAGAATTACACAATAAATCATGGTATTAAATGTAGAATTATTTGAATGAGAATGCTCTAGTTTAGTAGAATTACACAATAAATCATGGTATTAAATGTAGAATTATTTGAATGAGAATGCTCTAGTTTAGTAGAATTACACAATAAATCATGGTATTAAATGTAGAATTTAACAATAAACTGTAGTTTTAAAATCATTGTGTCGATCTTGGCATGTTACACAATAAAATTCTCTTAGACTATTAATTAAAAAATGGACATATGTGACCCTCTTACGCATTGCTTAATGCTTACTCGAAATTTAGGGGGGGGGGGGGGGAAGATATGAAATATACCTAAAAGATGGATAGTTTTGTTATTGTTGCCAATAAAACAATGAAATGTACACCATTCCTTGTACAGTATAAATCAGTGTCGTTAATTCAATTGACCATAGTTTTTTTTAGATCATTTCTTAAAAATAAAGGGTTGAGTTTCAATATTGTTATAATGACCACAATTTTTTAGTTACCATTGAATATTCTTCGGATGATAAAGGGATGATTTTGTAGACTAAAACAAGATGATTCATGGATTAAAATGACTTGCGGCAGAGATTTGTTACTTTCAATTACTTAAGTTAGTTTATCAAGATGAATTCGGGCCTGTTCCGATTGACTGAACTCATCTGAACTGAAATGAACTGAACTGAACTGAACTGAACTGAGCTGAGCTGAACTAAACTAAACTGAACTGAACTGAACTGAACTTATTAATTAGTGATTTTTAACTACGGATTAGTGATCTTTGATTATTTATTGATTATTTATTACTATACATATGTGTATATACAAATGTACATATTAAAATATTTACGAAAAATATACCATATAATTATAATTATAAAATGTATGGAAAATATATTAAAAACTTGAAACCTCTAAACATTTTAAACACATATACTATTTAATTTAAAAATAAAATAGTATTAGGACAAAAGAACACAAAACACTTACATGTATCTAACCCATTTAAACAAATTTAAAAAAAAAGTAATATATATATAAAAAAAAAAAAAAAAAGAACCAACAAGAAAAGCTAGAATTTGCTACGGCCCAACACCCTAACCCACTCTCTTTTCCTTTAATTAATAACAAATCTTACAAATAAAGAATTAAAGATGCTCTAACCCCAAATAAAGAGAAATATGTATCAAAAAAATAGAACCATTAGAACAATGAATTGTATCAATATTATAATTGTTATTATTATTATTATTATTATTATTATTATTATTATTATTATTATTATTATTATTAATTATTGATTATTATTATTATTATTGTTATTGTTATTGTTATTGTTATTGTTATTATTATTATTATTATTATTATTATTATTATTATTATTATTTATTGATGATTATTATTATTATTTATTGATTATATTATCAGTATTATTATTTCAATTATTATTGTAATTATGATTATTATTATTATTATTATTATTATTATTATTATTATTTATTGATGATTATTATTATTATTATTATTGTAATTATGATTATTATTATTATTATTTATTATTATTATTATTATTATTATTATTATTATTATTTATTGATGATTATTATTATTATTTTTATTGATTATATTATTAGTATTATTATTTCAATTATTATTGTAATTATTATTATTATTATTGTTGTTGTTGTTAATAATAATAATATTATTATTATTGTTGTTAATAATAATAATAATATTATTATTGTTGTTGTTGTTGTTGTTGTTGTTGTTGTTGTTGTTGTTGTTGTTGTTGTTGTTGTTGTTAATATTATTATTATTATTATTATTATTATTATTATTATTATTATTATTATTATTGTTGTTGTTTTTGTTGTTGTTGTCGTTGTAATAAGAGTTTAAAAGAATGAAATTTGGCTTTATATCATTAGCAATATTATTAGACATAAATTAAGAGCTGAGCTGAACTGAACTAAACTGAAATGAACTGAATTTCAACGGAACAGAACAGGCCCGAAGAAACTTAAATGCCATTTCTTATATATATATATATATATATATATATATATATATATATATATATATATATATATATATATATATATTTTCCTTTCTAAAAATGACTAGTTAATGCCACGTACAAAGTATGTAATTGAGTTGCCATGACCTAATGTAACAAATATTTCTACTGTTTGGTTTTAATTATAGTCCAATATATGAAGATCTTGAACCGACCTTATGAATGTTGTAATGGGCAAGATTATTTTTCTGCAGCGGATATATACATATTGACTCTAATATTTTTTTTTTTTTTTTGGGATTCAATCGAACAACCCCTCTAATATAATTAACCAACTGATAAGCTAACTATAATGTACAAAAGTGTTTAATGACGGCAATTAAAGCAATAACCATCCAGTTAACTTGTTCAAATCTGGTGCTATGCTAGAAGTCACAAATTTACAAAAATGACACTTCATTGAAAAGTTGTATTAGTTGCATGCGATTATTAAGTTAGCAGCAACTACTTAAGATACATCATATGACTACAATCTAGCAATAAGATGAGTAACGGGCAACGTCATAACCGGCCATTCCTCTATACATGGTTAGAGGAGAAATAATCAAAATCAGACATAAAAGCTCCCAAATGTCTTCAAGCATCAAACAAGCTCACTTTTTAAAAATGGACAGCTAGATAATTTTTTTTATTTTTTTTTTATTTATTTTTAAGGAAAATTTAGAAAAAATAATCTCAATTTTCATTAATTTTTATAGAATAATCCCAACTTTGGATTATACTGGAATAATCCGAACTTTGGAGGTAGTTCTTTTTCTTCAATCCCAAATACTGGTTACCGGTTCAATGGTTTTTTTTTTAAATAAAATGACACGTGTCGTACAGCAATTGGATAAAAAAAATTAAAAAAAAAAACAAAAGAAAATTACCCAGCCTGCGAAAACCCCAACCACCCTGAGAACAACTCCGGCAACCCGCCGCCACCATAGCCCAGCCACCCAGTTGCCGAACCTTCGTCCCTCCCCCACCACTAGACTCGCCGCTCCGGCGCTTCCCCTTAGCCACAGTCCCCTCCCCGAATCCCCACGCAACCACCTATAAAAACCCTTGAAAACTTCCATCCAATTCGCTTTGAGGGTGTTTCGAATGGTTGGAGGGGGTTTTCGACGGTGAGGAGGTGGTTGTTGGGGGTTTTCGGGAGTGGGGGAGGGGTTTTGAGGGTGTTTCGAATGGATGAAGGGGGTTTAAAGAGATTTCCGGTTATGGAGGGCCGATAACCAAATCGGGAAAGGAGGGGATTGGGGGTGGAGGTGGGTCATGACACCGACACCTGGGGTTTGGGGTGAAAGAGGCGCACGGTTGGGGCAGGGGAAGGGAGAGGTTGATGCGGTCGACGGTGGCACGTGGTGGTGGTTACGGGGGTCAGGAAGGGGGGATAAGGGTTTGCTGGTTTTTAATTTTTTTTTTTATTTTTCTTTTTTTGGACCAATTGTATTTTGACACGTGGCATATAACCTGTAATATCAGGTCATTGACTTTGGTTGACCGGTTTAGGATTGAAGAAAAAGAACTACCCCTAAAGTTCGGATTATTTCAGTATAATCCAAAGTTGGGATTATTCTATGAAAATTGATGAAAGTTGGGATTATTTTTTCTAATTTTATTTTTAATAAGTACTCCGTAGTAGTTTTAAGTAAAAAAAATTTTTATACATTTTTATATTTCCAAAAATTTCAAAAATATTAAAAAATAATTTCTAGAAGATAAATAATACTTTTTAAATTATTTTAAAAATTAATTTTAATTAAAATTACTAATTAAAAATAAATCAAAAAATAATAATCTCAACCGTCCATTTTAAAAATATGTGGTGCAGTAGTGAATAATTTGTTATTGTGACTCTATCGGGGGAAATTGTTGTAGTGGGGATGAGCCAAAACTATGTAACTCATCATGTTGTACATTTTTATAGGGTATATTCTTATGTTGTGAGCGCCTCATTAAATTAGAAAATCTCAATCATATGTAATTAGGATATAGTGAAAGCGTTTCAAGTGGGAGCTTTCCTGAATTGTTTTGTTTACATTTGGTCCTTCAATTCCTAAATTGTTTCATTAAATTATTGTTAATATGTGGATAATGGACAATTATATTAGCACTCTTTTATACTTTGTATCATTTTGTTCCCTAAACTTCTAGCTAGCAAGCAATGCATAAAAGAGGTTTGTGTCCATCCATGTTGTATACTCAACTAGAGTATTCTCATTCAATCGATATACGTGCATAACTATAACCTAGATAATCCAATTTGTAAACATAATTAATTTTTGACTTAACGCACATAATTACACAAATTATATGTCCTTAAAAAAATTTGAGAATGAATATTGAGCAATTCCGTACCATGCCAGAAGTGATGATGAGCAATTCCATAATAAGTTTATAATTCTGTTCTTGATTTGCACAATTATTTTGCTTGGAAAATCTATATGCCTTGAGTTAAAACAACATTAGAACAGTTTAATTTGATTATTGTTGCTTTAATTGCGGACATATACATATTTAACAATATGGTTAGCTTATCAATTGGTCAATTTATTAGGGGGGTGGGATCGATTGAATCCAAAAATCTGAAACAGAATTATCATAATACTACTATTCGCATTTATATTTATAGAAAAATTGCGAGTTTGATTACAAACTAAGTCCATTTCTTACACATCCTAGTACAATGAAAAGAAGAGTGACATTATACTGTCAATTACTCCCTAAGAACTTTTACTCAAAACTAATAAAAAGCATCATTATATGCATCTATCTATACCCTAATTGACTAATAACATATAATAGAGTAGTAACAAATCACACGGTTGTATTTTGGTAAGGTACATTTTCAGAATAAGCAAGAACATAACCAGTGTGCCAAGCGTACCAGACTCTGAAATCTTCCTCTAAGGATGCTCGGAGACCTCGGTGCAAGAAACGGGTCATTCAAGAGCTCAATTGCCGAGGGTCTTTCAGATGAAGGAGCCAGACACTTGCTAATGAATGCGTAAGCAATTTTATCTTTCACCTTGCTTAACTCCGGAGGGTCAACATTAACACCAGCTTCACCGCCTTTATTTAACTCTAACTCGACGTCGCTGTAGGGTGGTCCGCCAGTGATCATCTCTAGTACGCACATTCCGAAAGAGAATATGTCAACTGATTCATCATAACCATTTCCTTCAAGAATTTCTGGTGCCACATAACCTTTTTCGCCATATATCTGATTACAGGTCCCCTGTTCAAGACTCAGGGCGAAACCAAAATCTGCGAGTTTAACACAACCTGTCTTCCCATTGATCAAGATGTTTTCCGGCTTAATGTCACGGTGTACAATCGGCGGAGTTTGACTGTGAAGATAAGCTATCGCATTCAGAATCTGTATACACCACTTCTTGATTGCAGCATTACCTTTAAGCTTATGATTAAATCTGAGATGTCTCGACAAATTACCTGAAGGAAAGTACTCAGTGATCATGTGAATGGTTTTCGCCTCTTCATCAACCCAAGAATCATAGCATTTAACTATATTTTCATGATCTAATAGCTTCAACAGACCACCTTCTGCCAATAAAAGCTCAAGAAATTCAACGTTATTGAACAAATCCTCTGTTAGTTCTGTTTTACACCAAGCAATTTCCATACCAAGTGTTTGGGTCCAATTTAGTCCAATTGGGCTTAGGCATTAAATAATCCAATTAAAAGCTCAAGGTCAAGGTTCATCTCTCCAATTGTGCTAAAGTCAAAGATCAGCCCTCAAGGCAAGCCAATTGGGCTAAGGCCCAACTTCTCCATGTATGAAGAGGTATAAAAGCCATCTATATTACATTTTTTACAGATATTCAAGCAAAGCCTCAAGCAACTAATTCTCTTGCATGATCTTCTCTTTCTACACACTGTACTGACTTTAGCATCGGAGGGGCCTTCCTCGGCAACACCCCCGAGGCTAGTTTACGTGTGTTTACTGTGCAGGAAACCTTCGGCCCAACATTTCTTGGATCGAATCTAGTCTTCACCACTTCATCGGACCTTCGGCAAGGTCCCATTGTTTTCACCCGAAACAATTTGGCGCCGTCTGTGGGGAAGACTTTCAAAAATCTTTAAGCCAAATTTCTAACCAAGATCATCTTGCAGTTATCTTAGTAGCAATGGCTAAGAACCGCAAGAGAAAAGGCCTCCGTCAAGGAGCGGGCGAAAAGCCTAAAACCCCTACACCATCACCCTCGCCGGACCGGAACTCTCCCAACGGTGCCAGCTCGGGGGGAGGATCATACAAGGAGGATTCCCTTTCTCCCGTAATTCATGACTCTCATCATAGGCCGAGTCACTCTCGGTCTAGCAGGGGTGAGTCCGATCATAGGACACATTCAGTGCCCCAAAGCCAAGCATCGACTGTGCGCCCTCATTCCCATACTCGGCCGAGGACCCCTTTGACGGGGCCCAGCTCGGAGGAGGTGGCAAGAGCGCTGGCAGTGCTCATGGAGGCGATGAGGGCACAAAATATGCCGCCACCTCGTGATCGAACTCCTCCGCATACCCGGCATCAGCGGAGGAAGCTAGACCATGATGGTGGGAAGCTTCCTTCCTTCCGGGAACTGGAAGAGTGGGAAGAGGATACCTGGAAAAATAAAAAAGAGAGGAAAAAGAACCCTCAATTTTTAAAAGGATCCTCATCCTCCCGACCAGAAACGCATAAGAGCAGCAGCTCAGCTTCTCGCCCAGAATCTACTCACCGAGAACCTGAGACTGTTCGCCGAAGCGTCCTCGACCGACTCGGCGGCAAGGAACCGAGCGTGCGCAGTCGCCTCTCGTTCCCTGCGGCCGAGGCCCAGACTTCCCAGCCAGGGACGAAAACCACTCCTACCTCTCTAAGAGGGCGGAGCGCGGTCCCTTCGGCTAGGAACAAGGGCAAGACCGTTATGCTATCCGCCAATTCGCCATTCGAGCAATGGATACTGGAAAAGCACGTGCCCACGGTTAAAATACCGTCGCACATCACATATGACGGGACCTCGGATCCGAAGGACCACGTGGCCTCGTATGAAACTCATATGCATCTTTGCCCCAGATCCGAAGCGACTTGGTGCAAATATTTCCCAACCACTCTCAAGGGGGTCGCGCAAGCGTGGATCTCCAAGGGAGTAAAGCAAGGCTCCGTAACAGGGTGGGATGATCTGTCCTCCAAATTTAGGAGCAAGTTTTCCACGGCAAACCGCCGAGAGAAGACTACTGCAGAACTCATAAGTCTACAACAGGGGGAAACCGAAAGCCTCCGAGACTATCTGACCCGTTTCAGCAACGAGTCATCCAGCGTCTCTCAGCTGGACCAGGGGCTAGCCGTTTTTGCAATGCAGAATGGCCTTCAGCCTGGGAAGTTCCTAGAATTCATGGTCATGCATACCCCGCAGACCTTGGAGGAAGCTCTGAAGGCCTCGGATAAGTTCATCCGAGCCGAAGAATGGAACAAAGCGAAAACCCAACCTCAATTCGGGGGAGGGAAACAAAGACAAATACCCTTGTCTGAAGGCCAAGGCCATAAGGCAAAGGGAAAGTCAAAGGCCTCGGAGCAATCTTCGGCTAGCGACCCAAAAAAAGGAAAAATCTGCCTCATACACAGGCAGATACGAGTCCTACACTCCGCTCTCTCTTCCACGCGCCAAAATTTACAGCGTGATGAAGGAGGAGCAGAGTTACCGAAAGCCGAGACCACTCCCAGAGTGGTATCAGCGGAAAAATAAAAATCAGTGGTGCGAGTTCCACGAGTCTCCGGGACACAACACTGAGGAGTGTATCCAACTGAAGGACCAGATAGAGGACATGGTCCGGAAGGAATACTTGAAAAAATACATCGCGGATCACCGCGAGAAAAAAGAGTCCGAGAAGTCAGCAAAGGACTCTCGGCAAGACCTCGATTTCCCCCGGAAGAACAGTAAAAAGCCGGAGGGGAAATTCTCTCCGATCAATGTTATCTCGGGAGGAATATGCTCTCGGAGGGAGCACAAGCGACACCTTAGGGCTTTGACTCACCAGGTGAACAACGCTGACATTCAGTCTCCCCAATCGCCGGTGCCGAACATGACGTTCACAGCCGCCGACTGCCGGGGGATAACGTTCCCTCACGAGGATCCGTTGGTGATCATCGCCACGGTGGCCAACCACGACGTCAGTAAGGTCCTTGTTGACGGTGGCAGCGGAGCAAACATTCTGTTCCGAAAGGCCTACAATCAAATCAAGCTGAAGCCCAAGCACCTTACGCCGGTACCCTACCCGGTATCCGGGTTCAACGGGGCTTCAACTTATCCAGATGGGAAGGTGACACTTCCTATCACCATCGGCTGCGATGAGGCAGCCAGGAACGTCATGATTGAATTTTTAGTCATTGACGCTCCTTCAGTGTACAACGTGATTTTGGGGAGACCCATAATTCATGAGATCCAAGGGGTCGTCTCAACTTGTCATTTGCTGATGATTTACGTCTCAAACGTCGGCTTCCCCGAAAGGATACAGGGCAACTAAAAGGACACCCGAAGGTGCAACTACCTCAAGTCATCCAGTAGTCGCCCAGATGACGACAAGGATGAGGAGGAGAAAGAAAAAGAAAGAGAGCCAAGCACAAAAAAGCCGAAAGGCCTAAGTGCTTCGGCCCAAGGATCTGAACCCAGAGATAAAGGGCCCGAAAGGGATAAGACTAGCTCTTCAGCTGAACAGCAAGACTCAGAGAGCCAGCCGAAGAACAAAAAGACTGGGACACCTGCTGACATAGGCAGCAGGCCAGATTATGAAGAGTCCAGTCCATCAGCAATGGACATGGACCAACAGACTGAAACAGTTGAGTTGGCCGAAGGAGACGTTGAGAAATGTGTAACAATCGGGATGGACCTTGATCCAAACACCCGTTGTGAACTTATTCAGCTCCTTCGGGACAACAGAGATGTGTTTGCTTTCTCGGCAACTGATATGCCCGGAATAAGTCCAGACCTCATCTCCCATAAGCTTAATGTTGACCCAACGTGTCGACCAATTAAGGAAAAGAAGCGGAATTACTCTGCTAATAAGAACCAAGACATCGCAGCCGAGGTCAAAAAATTGCTGGAGGCAGGCTTCATCGAGCCTTGCCAATATCCAGAATGGCTGGCAAATGTGGTGATGGTTCAGAAGGCCAATGGTACCTGGAGGATGTGCGTTGACTTCACAGACCTAAATAAGGCTTGTCCGAAGGAGTTCTATCCCTTGCCGAGGATCGATCAGCTAGTCGATTCGACAAGTGGCCATGCCTTGCTTAGTTTCATGGACGCATTCTCGGGGTATCATCAGATCTTCATGCACCCCGACGATCGAGCAAAGACAGCATTCGTCACGAACGCTGGGGTGTACAATTAAAAAATGATGCCCTTCGGATTGAAAAATGCGGGGGCAACCTATCAAAGGCTGGTGGATCAAGTTTTTGCCGATCAGAAGGGCCGAAACATGGAAGTCTATGTTGACGATTCGATCGTCAAAAGCAAAAAACCTGAGGACCTTGTTAAGGACCTGGCTGAAACTTTCGCCACCTTAAGAAAGCATCAAATGAAGCTGAATCCGAAGAAGTGTGTCTTCGGCGTAAAGTCAGGGAAATTCCTTGGGTTCATGGTCAGCAAAAGGGGGATTGATGCCAATCCCTCCAAAGTCAAAGCAGCGCTCGACCTTCCTGAGCCGAAAACAAAGCGGGATGTTCAGCGGCTCACCGGAAGAATGGCGGCCCTCTCGAGGTTCATTTCCAGAGCTTCGGATAAGGGGTTACCTTTCTTCAAAGCCCTGAAACTCCCGAAAACAAAAGAGCTCGTTTGGGAGGAAGAGCAAAAAGACGCCTTTAAACAACTTCGGGAGCATCTGGCTCAACTCCCAACACTGGCTAGCCCAGCAGAAGGAGAAACTTTGTACCTGTATGTGGCCGTTAGCCCAACCACCATCAGCGCAGTACTGCTGAAGGAAGAAAGTAAAAGTCAGCAACCGATCTACTTTGTCAGTCATACACTGACAGATGTCGAGACTCGCTACCCTCTACTCGAGAAAGTCGCTTTCGCGGTAGTAGTAGCTGCTCGGAAGCTGAGGCCCTATTTTGATTGCCATCAGATAGTGGTCTTAACTGATCAGCCGTTGGAAAAAGTTCTCGGCAAGGTTGAAAAATCTGGTAGGCTAGCCAAGTGGGCTTTTGAGCTCACCGAATTCAGCATCAGCTACCGTCCGAGGGCTGCCATTAAGGCTTAAGCTCTAGCGGATTTCTTGGCCGAATGCTCATACCAAGAAGCGCTAGACAATGAAAAGAAAGTCTGGACCGTGTTTACGGATGGATCTTCCACCGAAAACGGTTCGGGGGCAGGAGTAGTGATAACTTCTCCCGGAGGCAAATCCTTTGAGTATGCACTATAATTTTCTTTTAAGGCCTCGAACAAAGAAGCCGAATATGAGGCAGCAATCGCCGGCCTAGAATTGTGCATCTCCCTGGAAGCCGATCATCCCTGCCTGAAAACAGACTCTCAGCTAGTTGCAAATCAGATTAGCGGCAGCTACGAGGCCAAAGAGCC